CTTTTTTGACATGATACTCAAAGCAATTTAAATTCAGATCACCTAATATGTAAAGTAATTTCTTTTCATGGTTGCTTTTATTTATAATATCATCTTGTAAAAATGTACTAAAAGTTTTAATTTCGCCTGTAGGTGGGCGATAACAACAGCTAATCACAATGTTTTTAGTTTTATTGTTCAATATTTCAATTGTTAAAACCTCTTTATTGACATCAGAAATACTCATGTCATGCCTAATATAATACTGAAGGTTTTCTTTTACATAAATAATTAAACCACCGCCGCGTTTATTTGTTTTCCGCCATGATGAAATCAAATTATAGCCCGGTATTTTAAAGTTATTATCTAAACTTGAGTCATTAGAACTACACCAAGTTTCAGTAATGCATATTACACTAAAAAGAGTTAAATTTTCCTCAAAACTATTGCAAAGATTTTCAAAATTTTTTTTAAACTTCTTATATTTATATGAAGTGCATTAAATTTATCATGCTCATGAAATTCTTTTATTTCATAACTATAGAAACAGCTGCAGTTGCTTTGTAAAGCACTTGTTTCACTAAAAAAAACTTTGATCCGGATCGGACTCTTTGTTAAGTATAAAATCATTGAATTGAAAAATATCAATGATTTTATAGACTTACAGACAATATTTTAATGAAAATTCTAATTTATCTTTTCACATTCCAAAGAAAGATACATGCAAAATTTGTGATAAATTCAAAATTTATATGCAGACAGCGAATGGTGAACGCAAATACGTTCTGAAGACTGCTCATGAACTTCATCTTAAACAGACGGAAAGTGCAAGAATGAATCTGAGAAATGCAAAAAATGAATCATCTGCAGAGATACTTGCTTTGATTTTTGATCTGGAGAGAACACTAATTTGCCCTTGTATTTCTATAAATTTGGCTTACTACTGTATCAGCTTCAAGTATATAATCTTCGAATTCATGATCTTGGGAGTGATGAAGCTACAATGTTTATGTGGCATGAAGCAATGGTTTCAAGAGGACCAGATGAAATTGCTTCATATGAAGTATTATCTGCAAAGGTTAATAAATGGTGTGAAAAATATTGTAACATGTTCTGACAGCTGCGGAGGCCAAAATCGAAATTTCAAGATAACTAATATAGGGTGTTTTCTTGTTAGCAAAGGAGCCAGAAGTTTTGAACAAAGACTTATGAAAACAGGTCACAGTTTTCTGCCAAACGATGCTAATTTTGGTGTGATTGAAAGAGCTCGACACAAGCATGACTTATACATTCCTGAACATTAGATGGAATTGGCATCAAAAGCAAAGAAAAAGAAACCATTTTTTCAGGTTATATAAAATGCAGAAAAACAAATTTCTGTCTTTCCTGATTGGGTGAAAGATGTTGCTGTTAACAGACATAAGACTGTTGATGGTTAACAGGTTAAATGGTTACACATTCAGTGTCTACGTATGGAATCTAGAAACCCAATGATGATGCAATTCAAGTACTCATTAAACGAGTTAGAAACTTGGAAGATTGCAGACTTTTCAAGACGAAAGAAAGGTTGTCCTTTATCCATAAGTGCTGCTAGTCCAGTAATTTATAATCAGAAGGAAGACAACTCACTGAAGCTAAATTGAAGGATTTTAAACAACTTCTTTCTTATATACCTCCAGTGCACCACAGCTTTTTTAAAAATCTTACATAAATAAAGATAATGAAGATTTTATTTTCGAAGAGGAGGAGGAAAAGGATTCAAGTGTTTAATGCAAAGGAAATGTTATTGAGTTAGTGTTGTGGTATGTTATGTCATAAAAGGTGTATGATGTGAATAATAGGCATGAAAAATATGGACATGGACCAATGTTCACCTAATATTTTGCCGTTTGGCAATTAGAAGAACAATACTTTTTTACCATTACGACCAATCAAAAGTATTTCTTTATACAATTACATTTTTCTTATGTTACTGACTCTCCTTTGTAACTAATAAAGTAGTTATAGTGTGTATTGCATTTATAATGTATGATATAAAACAATTTATTTAAACAACTGCAGTTTTCTATTCAGGAGCGCTGCCAACATTTTTTGGTCTTTGAGATAGATAACTTCCAGACATGGAACAAACTCCAAACATTTATATGTTTATACTTATGTCAAATAATGATGCTTTGCAAAAAAATTGCGAAGGTTGTCTCTCAGCGTTCAAAAGTTATGACAATATAAAATTTGCAACCCCCTCAAATTGTTTAAACTTTATATGGTCATAATTTTTGAACGCTAAAATATTTTACTATGAAACTTAAAAATTATCAATGAATATAAGTCTAGTTAAAAATAATACAAAAAATATTTCATCAACTTGTTGCTCTCACGTTTGGGGCAGGGAGGACAAAATTTTGGGGCTTTTTTGTTGCAATCATCGCAACTTTTCGCAAAGGATCTTTATTTGACGTAAGTATAAACATATAAATGCTTGGAGTTTGCTCCATGTTTTGAAGTTAGCTATCTCAAAGACCAAAATATGCTGGCAGCACTCCTGTTTCTACAAATGTATTATTATGAACATGGCCCATTTTTTCACTTAAGGACTTGTATGTTTAACATACAAATGTTTGGAGTTTGCTCCATCTCTGGAAGTTAAATATCTCAAACACCAAAAAATGCTAAATTTGTCACTGAATACCACATTGAACTCTTGAGCAATAAAGTAGCTAAAAGTATAGGAATAAGTTTTAGAAGTGGTTTAAACAAACTTTGTCCTACTTAGTTATTTCTTATTGTCATTTAAACTATGCAAATATTTCTTAATGTAATGCCAATAAATCTACACTGGAGCATCAATAAAAGCATGCTGCTCGTCTTTTAATTTAATCAATTTTAAAGACAGATTCACTAGCGTCTCTTTTATTCAAAAAAACAGATTCACTAGCGTCTCTTTTATTCAAAAAGACAGATTCACTAGCGTCAAGCCTCTTTTATTCAAAATGAAAGTCTATAATATAACTTTTTTTATTCATCTAGTTTTTTTACTCAAACATTGATGCTTTTAAATTCTTTCCAATTTTTATGTTTTATTTCCATGCAGTTTTGAGTTTTAAAAGTCTTCTACAATCTACAATCTACAAATTTAACAATTCTACAATTCATTCTACAATCATTCTACAGTTCTACAATTCATTTTACAATCTACAATCTACAAATTTAAGAAAATTCTACAATCGCTCTTTAACTCGCTTCTTTGCATTCCCATCATAACCCCATAATAAATTGTGATTGCTAAAATAAAAGATTTTTTAAAGTAATATCAGAAACGTAGAGTTCATCAAAAAAAATTGATTTCCTAAACCAAAAGTGTAAATGTTTTAATTGTTCACAAGTAAAATGACACCAAACATGTCTGCCATGGTTTAAACAACACCGATAGATGATGGGACTCTGATCGAGTAAATTCTTCCCACGCGTTATACAACAAATTACGATAAGTTTCCCATTACGATATTTTATTTTTTTGTGGTCCAAGCATGGGTAACCATTCTATCATCCAGCAATGCCAAAAATGTTTTATTAATTCTTGGACTCCTCGCCAACTTCTTGGGTTGAATGAAGTAATATCCACTGCATCAGCGGCGAACTTACCACCTAATTGTCCAAATAAAAAATGATTTGGTGTAAGGGGTGTGCAGTCTTTAGGATCACTCGATTAGAGTAAATAAATGCACAAGAAAAAAAATATTTTTTGCTTTGTACCATTTACGCCAGTAAGCAAAACCTACTTGTTCAAAATGTTATCTTTTGATATGGTCCAAATTAAGGGTTTAAACAACACCAATAGATGATGGGACTCTGATCGAGTTAATTCTTCCCACGCGTTATACAACAAATAAAGACCCATGATTAGCCTACGGTAAAACAAAAATACCGGCTTTAACTCTCTAAGATTTATGTTTTAGTTTTGCAAAACCGGGTTTCTTGAAAGTCATTCTAGAGTGAATAAATGCACAAGAAAATTAGTTTTTTTTAGTTAATACCATTTACGCCAGTAAGAAAAAAATAGCAGTTCAAAATGTAATCTCTTGGTTTGGTCCAAATCAAGGGTTTAAACAACACACGATAGATGATTGGACTCTGATTGAGTAAATTCTTTACGCACGTTATACAACAAATAGAGACCCATGATTTGGCTGCTGTAAAACAAAATACCGGCTATAAATCTTCAAGTTTTATGTGAATTAAGATCTGTCTGCTTTTTGAGTTCAAAGAATTTAAAAATGATGCTATTTGGCTGTAATTTTATTAAACATTTAAGACATTAGGAGATGTAATTTTATTAAATATTTAAGACATTAGGAGATAATAGAATAGGAAGAAAAAAATCGCTATAAAGCTAGCTAGTCGCCAGCTCATTTCCCACCGGGAGGTCATGTTTTTAAAATTCCGGAAAATTGTTTGGGTATAATATCCGGAAAAAATCCGGAACATAATTTCCCTATATTCTTGTTAATTTTGTTTTAGTCCAATATTTTCTTTATTTTTGCATCAGTGGTAAGTGAAAAAGCTTAAAAAACAAATATATTGCAAAAATTTACACCTAAACTTGTATGAATGGAAAACGTTTTGGATATCCGGAAAAACTACAAGTTTAGAAAAATATCCGGAATTCCGGAAATATCCGGAAAAAGATAATCCCTGAATTCGACGCTGATTTATAGAAAACCGTTTAAACTTAAGCTTTTGTACAGATTGACAAATTTATAATAAATACAAACAATTCTATTGTCTCCATAAAACTAAGATATTTTACAATTTAAATTAGATTAATCAAAATTTAATAGAAAATTGAATAGAAGTGTTTTTTATTGAAATTATATAGACAGCCTTAAAAATAAATTATATTTAAAATGTTCAAACTTTTCCTAAATTGAAACTATACAAAACGTTTTATTTTATACAATAGTACGTTGTATTAAACGTTTTTCCGAATGGTCGTGTCGCGTTAAACAAAGTGAAGTGATGCATTCATAAAAAATTGATTATATTTAACAGTGACGATATCAATATTAAAATAGTGGAATCGTATATTTGTTTAGTAGTAATTTCAAAAACTATTTCTTAGAAAGTTCATGGATAAACTCAGGCAAATGAGATACTTTTAACTTAACGGTTTCTGGTAAAGAATCAGACTTTGAATAACTAAAAAAAAGTGTAATGGATTAAAAAAAGCAGAACAACAAAGAAACTTAATTAAAAAATAAAAAAAATTTACTTGAAGGTATCGCCTTGATGATTAACATAACGTACTGTTACACCATTAAAAATAATTTGAGTTCCATCGTTAAACTGAACATCTATTTCTCCATTACGTAACTAAACAAAAAATATCAAAGCATAAAAAAATTCTAACAATTTTTGCTCGTTGTACTAAATTTAATAAGTTTTTTGATGCCGTACTGCAATATAAACTTGGTATCCAAAAGTTCTTGGCTAACTAAAAAAACCGTTAAAAAAAAGCTGATATTTTCTATCGCATATAATTAAAAAAAACACACTGGGAAAGGCAAAACCTGCATAATAATTATAATTTACAAGTTATACACAAAGATTTCTGTATCTTAAAAGCATTACCAAGTTAAAAAAAAAAATATTTGATAGTGAAAAAAATTAATTAGCTTCAAATTTATATTTAATTAATTTTGCAATATAATTATTTTTTAACAATATGTCTTGCTAGGCATATTGTAAGAAAATAGTTATATAACAAGTATATAACAATTATTTTGATCCACATTTAAATGTTATATCCATATTTAAATGTGGATCAAACAAAGAATTTAAAAATTTAAATGTGGATCAAACAAAGAAATCGTGGTTTTAACAAAAAATGTCAATGCAATAACAAATTTTATCACATTTATTTGTTTAGTTATTTTAAAACTGTTGCAAAACTGATGTTGTTAAATGCAGCATGAGAAATTAAAAAGAAAAAAAAAAAGAAACTTGCCTGAGAACCCCAACCAGCAGACGGTATAAAAGTTTTCTTAATTACTTCAGTTGTTTTAGCTATGCGATCCATAGAAGAAGTAGAACTTGCACGAATTGGGCCTTTAGGTCGACTTGGCAGTATACCGGGCTTAGCCAATGTCAGTTTTTTGGGAATATCAGACAATAATGTTCCTTCAAATGACATTACAGAAACAGATACAGTATTTGATTGAGGTGAAGATGGGGCACATGATGACAAAGCATTGCAGGGTCTAATTTACAAGACAATAATGTTAAAATCAATCAAACCTGTTGACATAAATTTATAAAATTAATCAAAAATTAAAAATAATTAACTATAAATTAAAAATTCTCACATCTCAAATTCTCAAAAGTTAAGCAAAAAAAGAGTTATTTTCACCTTGCTTCTGCTTTTTTATTTCTTTTTCCAGTTGATGGTCTTTTACCCATTACTACAGGGTAATAGGAAGAGCTACATTTAAGATTACGCAAAGCAGATTCCAAAGTTAGACAATGTTGTTGGCAAGTTCGAGTATGTGTTAAAAGTTCTTTTTCAGAGTTTGAAAAAGAATGATCTGAATGAACATACTTGTTGCATCTGCCATTAACATCAATAATTTTTATTGCATCAGTTGAAAGACTGACTTTACAACCTGAAAATTGATATCTATTTTTTTAAAAACATTTACTAATATTTTATACTTTTTTATACAATGTAGTTACTAGAATAACAAAAAATTTATATAACAATAAAACAATAAGCAAAGCTCATTTATATTCTGAGACTTGATAAAATAAATCCAAGGCTAAGTTGCTAGGGCTGCCTTTTAAATGAAAACATACAAAAGTTCTTGAATTATTATTAAGTCATTGTGACTGGGGTAGTAGAATACCACGATTAAAAAAAATTTAAACCATGCAATTATTAAATGTGGAATGATGAAAAATACAAAAAAAAAAAAAAATTAAACTAATGGAAAAACTTCAATTTTATTTAAATCTAAAGTACTTTAAAATTATAAATAGCTTTTAATTAGCAAACATTTATGCTAATTGAATTAAAATATATATTATTTTTATTTACACATTTTTTTCACTATCTCTGTCACAATTATTTTATAAAATGAATAATTCTAAACAACATGATTATATACTTAATTGATCATTTCTATCTGTATCTATAAAGACAAAACTTGTGCATGGAGGGGGGCAGTGAAAAGAGTTAGACTAAATAGTAATAGTTTCATACATGTTTAACTAATTTAAATAGTTTCACAAATGTTTAACCAATAAGGTATTGGTTAGTATTATAACAACAAACTTTCAATGTAAAAATATAAAACTTTATGTGTATATATTATAATTATTAAACTGTAATCAAACTATTTTATCTACTATCAGATTTGCCTAGACTTTCCACATCTTTAACCGATGAAGGCCTACAAGTAGCTAATGATATTACACTGTCTGAATGTGGTACTAGGGATGGAACAACCTGGTGTCAGAACCCTTTTAAACAACTAAAGGCACACAACAAAAGTATTTAGGCAACCTAAAACAAATATTTTTTTTGCCAATTTTATTGATGCATTATCAGTTTTTTAACTCTTCAGTTTTGTGAACTAAAATATTTTCTCTACAGACTTAATTTGGGATTTAAATTGTGGCAATCGAATTGTGACATTATTTCAAGAAACTGATTTCTCAAGTTATGTAATTGACTTAATTTCGACAACAAAGAAAAAAGTACAGAAGAAAAGAAGCCATGATGTCCTAGCTCCTAAAAATGACTTATGGGTGATGAAAAAAAAAATAATAGTAAGCAGACTATGATTATATTCTTTAACATTCTAGATGTGGCATCAATTGCAGAATTTATGGTATTTAGAATTAAATCAGACATCTTAAAAAGATAACTAACAATTTTTTTAGCTTAAGATAACTAAAGGAAGAAATAAAAATTTCTGCCTAAGCAGCATCAAGTCACAATGGACCAGATCTGAACCAATAGACCAGATCAGAACCAATGGCGAGAGGTTATTCCAACCACAAGCTCAAAGGTCAGGTTATTGCAACGTCAAAATGGAAACATTTTGATCAATGCTTATGAAAACAAGACAAGAAGACATGCACTATTTGAGCAAAATGTTAAACACTTATCTGCAAAGAACATACAATATTCTTGTACACACCATGTGTTTACTTGTAACTAATTCGTTGTTATCACTTCTTTTGTTTTGTAAGGTAACATTACACTTCATGTTTATATATACATAATGTATTATGTGTAGCTGTTTTTGTGTGTCGAAATTGTTATAGTACTTGTAATAATTTAAAAAAGATGTGCCATCATCAAATATAATTATATAAAAAGAGGTTTCTAAATAAATTAATGGTACTATTAAAAATGATATGGTCATTTAACCTTACAGTTAAATACAGTTAAAGTAGGGATAGGGTAAAAACATCAACAACAATTATTACACAAGAAAATTACTAAAAAATTTCTAAAGCTTTTTTCAGATTAAAAGATTTTTATTTTTTTGATTACATAATATTGCCTCATCAAATATTTTATTATGCCAAACTTTAATTACATAACATTGTCTCATCAGATATTTTATTATGCCAAACTTTATTAAAAGTTAAAAATAGTTTGCTAAATCAAAATTTGAACTACAAAAATTAATCATATAGTTTTTATAGATAAAGTTTTTGGTTTTGACCAATTTTTTTGGGTTTCAACAGAACAATAATATCCTTTTTAAAATATTGCTATTAAGTGAAAATGTAATACTGAAACTTCATTTCATTATACAACCAGATGACTGTGCATTAAGCTAGTAAAACAAACAATATTATTTGAAGTTTAATTAATTACTAAAATTAGCTAATCAAATTAATTATCTTACACATACACATAAATTTATTGTTTGACAGCATTAGATACATTTATTGTTTTGACAGCACTTTGTATCACTTCACTTATTGGTCTTGTCTACACTTAGCAACATTAATGACAGTATAATAGGACCTCATTTCTCACACAATTATAAATTAGAAGCCCCATTGAATATAGTTTAGGCTTTGGAGAGATAAATATATTAAAAAAAAAAAATAAAGTCAAAATATACAAATCACTTCTAGTGTATTTGATAAATGTGATTGATCTGCTATTACTCAGTACTTTGACATGAGATACTTAATCTTTTTAAACTTTTATTAACACGTTCATGCCAGCGCACATTTTCATTTATTTTGCTGTGTGTCGGCGCTGAAATTAATGGCGCGCTTCATCTGGCGGGAAGCGTGTTTTGTGTGTTCAGACTTATATACGCGTTGTATGTTTGTTCAGTAGTACAGACAGTTCTTATTGTGCAATATTGAGTAATATTGGGTAATTTGTGCAGCTTTTTCTATATCTAGAAAGGTGGTTAGAATATTTATATTATTATTTTTTTATTAATATTTAATATTTTATATAATTTATTTTTTTTAATATAATAGGTTATGGGTATGGAAATATGTGATTCTGATGAATCTATAACTAGAAGCAGAAGAAAGGCATCACGATTACGAATACTTTCTTCCTCTTCAGATGAGGATTCTATTAATATAAACAGTAATGTGAACGCATATTCCTTGGAAGAAAATTTGGTGTCTAATGATGAAGAATGGCAAGATGTAAAAAAATTACTTCAATAATAAACGAGTAATCGGAAGAAGAGGATTTTTTTTATGAAAACACTGACTGTAATGATCCTTTTACTTTATACAAACTATTCTTCACGGATTACATACTAGATTTGATAGTTGAAGAAACAAATAAATATGCTACACAATGTATTAATAATTCTTCATCTGGAAGTAGAATACACCAACAGGCCTGGCAATCTGTTACAGATCTGTTACAGATCTGTTATCTGTTACTATTTATTGATAGTTATTATACAAGTGTCCCTTTGGGTGAAGAACTTTTAGAGAACAATACATTTATGTGTGGTACTGTAAAAATAAACAAAAAATTTCTATCACCGCAGGCAAAACAAAAACGTGGTGAAATGATGAGTTTCGAAAATCGTAGCGGTGTAAAATTTCTGAAATGGACTGACAAAAGACCAGTAAGCATGTTAACTACCTCGAAGAATCACCAATGTAAATTTGTACAAGGAACAAACGGCAAATTAAAGCCTGATGCTGTATTTGATTATAATATTGCAAAAAAAGGTGTTGATTTATCAGATCAACTATCAGGATATTACAGTTGTTTATGAAAAACCATTAAATGATACCAAAAAGTAATAATACAATTAATATGTGGAACTTCCCTCGTGAATGCCTGGTATATTCATAAAATATGGGGCACTAAAAATATGACTGTTTTACAATTTAGGGAATTTATTGTCAATCGTCTTTTAACCAAAAAACAAATATGCCATCATACACTGCCAAATAAACATGTTCTGCAATCATATGAGGGATCTGCAAGAGAGTCCCATAAACGCTGAAAGGAATGTTATAAAAATTTGTCCACGAAAAATGGCAGAGATTATGCCGCTAAGAAAACTAAAAGAGTCATGACATATTGTGGACATTGCAAGGGTCAGCCATCACTTTGCTTAAAATGCTTTAATAAATTACACAGAAATCAATAAATAATAAAGTTATAAATAAAATAAATATTGATTTTTTATGTTATTTTCAACGAATTTAAGTTATATTTATATTGTATTATTATGTTTATATTACTGAACAAAACTTATGTTTATGATACGTTACAAATAAAATTGTTATTAAAAAATATATTTTTATTATGAAAATACATAAAATTTTCATTAATTTTAATTTTAGCACAATTAATTAATAGAATAAACTAGTGTGTATCACCGGTGGTACACGCCGCCCAATGAGATAGTCTAGTGTGTACCACCAGTGGTACACGCCGCCCAATGAGACAGTCAAGTGTGTACCACCAGTGGTACACGCCGCCCAATGAGACAGTCTAGTGTGTACCACCGGTGGTACACGCCGGCGTGAACGCGTTAAATACTAAACGTTGGCATCCAATAAAAACATGTTTATTGAGTACACCATTCTTTTATTAAAAATAAATAGAAAATTCCTACCATTATAAAATGTAGCTTCAAAATCTGGAGGAATGTTTTCCATCAAAGAGCATTTTGCTAGATCTGAATAAAACGTAATCTGAAATTAAAAAAAGAAGTTCATTTATGAATCACACAACCCAATAAAAAATTACTTGAAAAAATACCCTATCAAACTTTGATATGTCACATGCTTGTCTATTAATATTTACATAAGGAGAATAAATACGCAATAAAATCAAAAATGCTTTAAGTACTTTTTAAGTGATGTAATAATTAATTTGCATCATTAGTAACATCAGCTTAGTTGGTCAGTTTTTGAACAATTTAACTTTTTACCCCATTTTTAAACATTTTTTTTAGCTTACATTATGAAAATAATTATGTTACATAAACTTTATATACTAATGAGGAGTTTGAAATAAGGGTATCTAGTTATGATTTATGTTTTTTTTTAAACAGGACCAGTTTCAGTTACACACAAGCATTTATTAAAAAACACAACTAATATATATTAGATAAAAAAATAATATATTAATATATTAGATTAACAACCTTTAAGAAATGTTTGCATATGATTTTAGCATTTTAAATTTTTGCATATGATTAAGACTCTGCTTTTTTAAATAAATAGATTTCAAATACTAAAATAAAATACTGATATTATATCTGATATCTGCAAGTCTGTACATCTACAGATAAAGGATAGATTTAAAAATAATAGATTTATTTAAAAATTATTATTAAACTGAAAAAATAAAAGTATGTTTATAAATAAAAATGTACTTATTGACATTCATAAAGGTTGCTTACATAATTCTAAAAACTAAACTCATTGATTTTTTCAGGTTATATTAAAACATTGTCAACTATAATTTTATAAACACAATCATTTTATAAACTAAATTAAAACAAAATTTATGTAATAACAAAGTATTACTTTATCAAAGGATTGTAAAAAAAGGTTGAATTAAAAATTTCCTTCTTTTTTAATTTTTTTTTACTATTTGTAACTATTAATCAAATAAATTTAAAAATATTCAAGAGTTTCATGTTGTCAGACAACCTAACTACCAGGCTATCAGTGAATTTATAAATCAAAAGTATAAACATAAAAATTACCTTTGGTGTTTTCATTTTTACTAATCGCACAAATTTATCTGCATACTTATATTTCAACCAAAGTTTTTTTGGTAAGCCTGCAAATGCATGGCAAACTGCTGATGGTGGGACAGAAACAGGAGTGTCTTCTAATGGAACACCATTTGCTCCATTAGGATTAAATACTGTGACCTTAATACCATCTGATGATATTCGGAATACTTCAATAACATAATCAACACCGCCTCTATTTTGTAGAAATTCCAAACATACAGTTTCATCTTCAAGAATACTTACTACAGCATTTCGAGTCTTTTGACGTATAGGGCGCAAACGAGCAGTAGAAAGTGGTTCCATAATCTTATCTAATGATTGTGATAGCTTATTTTCATCTGTTTTAGTATAGCAATGATTTTCTTTATCATTGAAAAAAATTTTTAAATTTTCCCTAGTTCTTTCAACTATAATGTTACTACAATCTTGAAGAGGTCGTTTTTGGTAATTATAGTGTTCAGATATACTTTTACAGGAAACATCATTACTTTCATGCCAACAGTATGAATGCAAACAGTTTGATGAACAATTGCACGAGGACCTTGAAACACAATGTCTATCATTATCCCGGTGACATGTTGTTTCAGTTGAAAACGATGGAAAACCTTGTGTAGAAATATTTCTTTTCACATAGATTGAATCATCTTCAAACTTATCACTATGTATAAAGTTAACTAAATTTTTTTTATTTAATTAAAATTTATTTAGTATATATTTTAAAAAGTTTTCTACTTTTATTCGTATAAAGTATTGTATAGATTTTTTCAAGTAAAAATGTTGTAAAAAAGTATATATATACCTTTTCACTAATTTAACAGGTGGTGAAGGGGGATGTCTGATTAAATATGAATTAGCCTTGTCTGAACTAGCTTTACTAATATTTGTTGACAAAGTTCCATGACCACTGTCAATTGAAATCAAACCGTCTTGATAGGAATTCTTTGTTAAAAAACAAAAAACATTCACAAAAAACAAAAAAATAATTGTAAAGATAACTCTAAGAACTTAATTGAAATTTTATTATAAAAAACAAAAGAAACAAGACAAAAGCAAGACAAAAGCAAGACAAAAGCAAGACAAAAGCAGAAAACAAAATAAACAAGATATAAAAATACCATAAAATTTTCTTTTCCCAATAAGAAAGGGTGGTCCAAAATTCCTATACAAAATTAATTAAAACGACATAAACATTTACCATAAAATTTACAGTAAATCATGTTTACTCTTACAAATTAGAAAAAAATACTACCTGAAAGAGTTATTCTGTCATTTGGATTCTATAATAATAAAAGATTAAAAGTTCTTTTAATCTCAAAAAACATTAAAAAACTTTTAATAATATGATCAAAAAATATAAAATTTAAAATTTATGTAACAATTTAATATAAAAACTTCTAAAACCTTTTTAAGAAGTTTATCGATAAGATCTTTAGCTTCAAATGATAAATATCTAGAGAATATAAAATAGTGCAAAAATATACATCTAGTAAACTGATAAATATGATATTGTAAATGTATAGAAAAATGATAAATATTTAATAAATTATTGAACAAAAGAAAAAAAAAAAAAAAAAAGCAAGCTCATTTTATTTTAACAGATATGCAGAAAAACTTGTTTTTAACTAATGGAAGAATTTTTTAAAGAGGTACTAAGGGAATGGTGGGATGGTATAAATATCTAATTAGCAGACAAGATTCTATACTTTTATACTTTTATCTATGACTCAAAAGCTTTTGAGTCTCTGCACCCCTGAATAATATATAAAAGTAAAAAGTTTAAATATACTTTGGTACACTGTAATCAGCCATCACTACACGATTGAGTGTTGTTTTCACACCTTCTGTCTGGAATTAAAACAAATCAAAAACTTATAATAAATATAAAAACTATTACTAATAAAAAAAAATGAAAAAAAAATTAATTATATAGAAACCATTAAAAATAATTAGGTAAATTTTGGAAACAAAGAGAAAAATAAAAACAATAAAAGCTTACATCGAAAGGAGGTTTGCCTACAAGAAGAGTGTAAAGCATGCAACCTAAACTCCATACATCTGACTCAAGACCATGGGGACTCCTTGTTGCAATTTCACTAAAAATTGTTTGAAATTAAAAATAATACAGCTTTGTAAAATATTTTAAAATCTCTTAAGGTTTTGAGAAAAATGCTTTTATAAAGTAAAAAGTAAAAAAACTTTTTTTAAAACTTTTAAAGAAATGTAAACAATAACTTATTATTTAGCTAATTTAAAAAAGAAACTGACGGTGATATATAATTTGGGGTACCACACATGGTATAATGTTTATCTGTAGGCATATTAAGCTTTGCAGCGAGTCCAAAATCTGCAATTTTCTAGTAAGGAAACACAAGTTTATTAACAACTTTATATATACCAGCTATACTAGTTACTATATATATCACTTATCATTTAACAAGAAAATAATATTTAAAAAAATCAATATTCATAAAAAGAAATAATAAAGACAGAAATAACCATAATTATTTGATTAATAAATTCACATAAAAACCATTCATAATCACCACTACTTACAATATCCATATTTTTGGTTAAAAGAATGTTTCCAAGTGAAAGATCTCTGTGTAAAATACCATGAGAGTGTAAATAAAGTAAGCCAATAATTACTTCTCGAATTGTTTTACGAGCTAAAGTTGAATCATAATCATCATTATTATCATTAGACGAATTTCTGTAAAGAAAATCTACATTTTTATGGAGGATTCTTAATTCATAACAGTTGACAATGTTATAGTTTTTGCATTAATTGTTTAGAAATTTTTTAAATAACATTCTTAGCATTAAATTTAATTAAAAATATAAAAGTTTTTAAAGATAGCACATAAAATGTGATGTTTGTGTTTCTATATTTGTTGTTATCAAGTTTAAATTTGCTATAAATCAGTTCAATTTTTACTAAAGTATGTGGCACTAATCTTAAAAAACTAGGATAATAATTTACTTGTTTCACTAACATAAAATTCCGCAATTTTTTAAAAAAGAAAAAAATATTTGGTACTTTTTCTACTGTATATTTGTAACTATTTTGACTAGATAATGTTTTTTAAAAACAAACTAAAACAAAAAGAAAACAAATTACTACAAATTATTTTGTTGAAAAATTGATTAAACAATCTTATAGTAAATGAAAATTTAGAAAAAAAATTATTTCACACATGCCAAGTAACGTAGAACTGAGTGATATTTTCTCTTTATCATCACTGGTATAGATTCTTTGCAAAACAAAACTCTACACCAAAACCTTTTATATGCCAAGTAACATAGAACTGAATGATATTTCCTCTATATCATCACTGGTATAGATTCTTTCCAAAACAAAACTCTACACCAAAACTTTTTGTATGGAATGTTTCCAGAATAAAACTCAAATAAAAAGATTTTATGTGTTCTAGTGAATCAACATTTTTTCTTTAATTAATTATAATATGTTCTTTGTTAAATAAATGAACAAACTTTATTAATTCATTGTAATTATTGCAATCTGGCATAAGGTTATGCCATATTAAAAAAATTTTTTAAATTACATTTGGGGAGTGATTTTATTATGAGTTGGGGTAAGCTAAGCAATATTCAAACAAAAATATTAAATTTGTTTTTTTTTTGTGTGTGTGTAAAAATTAACTTGAATAATGTAAAAAAGCATTAAAAAATGCATCTTTACGACAAAAAAATTAACAAAATTTATTATCATAAATTAAAATTTTAATTATCCAATTTTTAACTTGTAGTTGTAATCTATAAATTGAACACAGTTACTTTGTACTTGTTATTTGCTTTGCGTTAGTAGTGAATTTAATTGTGTATATTTCAACATTAAAAATTTGCAATATTTGTTGATTTTTTATTATAATTGTTTTTATTTTACAGTAAAAAAAAAAAAAAAAAAAAAGAATATTGTGTTATGGAGAGTTTAAAATTGAAACAAACTAGACATTCTTCTACAACTAATTTAACTAAGTATCTTGGAGTAAGAAAAGATTTAGGAAAAAAAAAAAAAAAAAAAAAAAAAAAAGGTTGGAAACTGAAGTTCCTACACTGAGAGGTGTACTAAGGAAAGGTCTAGATATTCAGAAAAGTTTGCTTCTTTCTGATGATCTTGATAGGTGAGTTATTTGAAATGATATTGAAAAGTGAATTTCTAATAAACTTTTAGTGGGCACAGGACGTCCAATAACATCCATAAAACATTAATTTCAAACAACAATGTTAAAACAGTTTAAATTTTATATTTTTTGTAGATGTCACCTACCTGTAAAAGAAATTTCGGTGGTATTGGCAGACTTGGTATTGAAACAATGGTCTCAATCCAATGCTTTGTTTAAGACCCCTGTTGTCATATCTCAAAAAACGCTGTCAGATAAAATTTTAACTGCCTGGCATAAGTTTAGAGACATTTCTAACCAAAAAGAAACAAAAGAAAAAACTGTCAAATTGTGGTAAGGTAAGCTGGACAAATTGTTAGATGTAACAAAATGTAGGTGTAACATATTACTTTGTACAGATGAAAATTCTCCTTGTAAGGAGGTTATAAATTATTGGATTCTGTTATATAACTTTTTTTTTAATGTTAACCACCTCCCCAAGGCTGAGAGAGCCACTACAATTGAAGAGGCTACTTTTTATGTTTACAACCCTCTCTGAACTCTTTGATTTTGAAACAAATTTTTTTTTGGTAGTACCATGCTCAATTTAAGTGTGGTTCTATCAGAGACATGGTGGGGATCGAACTCATAACTTCTCTTTTATGAAACAAGCATCTACCACTACATTACTACTGCATAATAACTATATAAAATTTACCTTGCTCTTCATTCATTGGACTTTTTTTCAGATACTGTTGTAGTTCTCCATTGTGGCAAAGTTCAAGAATTAAATAAACATAGTTGCTATCTTCAAATGATCCATACATCTAAAAACACAAAAATTTAAGTCAAAGAGACTCTAAAGCAATAAGATTTTTATTTAAAAGAAAAAATTTCTCTATATATTGCTCTTATACTGTTATAAAACTGTTATAAAAGTATTTCAACTATCAACAAATATTCAGCAAAAAAAATAATAATTTTATGTAAAATATATGAAAATACTTTTGATAGTTGGGAGATTCCATGTGAAAACATCCAATTTTTTTTTGAAAATGCAACCATCAAGTCTCAGATTTTGCTGATTTTTAAACCACTTAAAGATTTTAGTAAATTATGAACATCCTGAAAATTTTATTGTTTAATTTCAATATAGCTATTTTAAGTTTGCCTCCAACCAACAAAAATCCACCATTTTTAAAAATGGTTTTGGTCCTAGTTTCTGTTATATGTGTGTTTCAGAAGTTGTATTAAATAGTTTAGTTGGAGTTATTACAAAGAATTAGATTGCGGTCTTAAATCAGAAATAAAAACTTAAATTTATTACTTCTAAAACATTAGTTTCATATTTATCAAACTTTATTTAATAAACTTAAAAAACAAAGACTCCAAAATAAATAGAGAACTCGGAAAGAAGTTCAAGAAACAAAAGTAATATACAAAATTTAAAAATTAAAAACTCAAAAAAATTAAAATCTATCAGTTATTGTGTTATAATCATTCACATCAATGTTATATGTTCGCCCTGATTTTGTTGTTGGGACTTTGATTACTGCAATCAAACTCGACAATGGTACCCAACAGATATCATCTCTCTGTGGCCAAATAAAGTTTTGAGAAGGGCCGTGAGGGTGCATAAACTTAATTTGAATATCATTTATAATAATATCTATCTCTGTAACCATGCCTATCCACCAATCGGAATCGTACTTGCATGCAACAAAATCATTAAGATTTGGTACAATAACAACATCAGACATTACTGCTTTTGACAATATAAATCTGTCAACACATTGATGTTCGCTTGTTCTATTAAAAACTAATTTCAAATTTTGAAATAGGTATGTAATGATGATAACTTCTGGTACCTGGAACAGTTTTTCCTGTTTCAAATCGCTCCTTTAGTTGCTGTCTCCTTGCATTAACTGTTTCTTTGGAAATTTTATGATTGTGTTTATATTGGTGATGCAAAACTCAAGCATATCATCAACTATCAATATTTGGTTTTCCAATGCCCTTTGCAAACTTGCTCTTGCTATTATTCTTTTAACGATACCACCTATGCCACCATAAGTGGATTTTCCATGGCTGGTTGCAAAAAATACCCATTCAGCTGTAATCTCAAAATCTTCCTTATGGTGGCATAGATTTATAAAGTTTTTTATAATTTTTATAATGAGCAGAACATCCATCAGAAAAATAATAAATTTTATTGATACCAACTAAATATTCTTTAATGTACTCTCCAATTTTCTTTTGAAATTCATACACAAAGCATGTATCATGATCATTGTCATCACTTAAAAAACAGAATGACTTATGCTGAATATTTGTTTTAGAAAATTCCTTAAAATATATAACAACAGGATGAAGTGTACATTGTTGTTTATTCCAATGATAACTTTGTATTTCATCCTGTATAACAAATTGATAGTTCTCTGCAAAATCTGCCTGTATAATACATTCATTGTAACCTAAATTATTTTTTAGTTCTTTCAAATAGCGAGTTTGGCATTTAGCAATATATGAATGTGAAGTTAGATGATTAATGCGAGGAACAACTAGTTCTTTATATTCAATTAAGTTAACTGATTGAGTAATTAATTTTGATCTATCAGTACTTTGCCATTGGTTGAATTGAATTTCTTCTTCTCCATCTATCTCAATTAATTCCTCATCTAAAAATGCCTTTAAGTTATCATAACCTGGACATTTGGCACATCTATGAATCATGCATTCATTATTGCTTGTATCACATACTAATTTTGACATTAAATCTTTGTATGTAACATTCCATTGGACAGCATTTACAAGCAATATTGAGTTTTGATGGTAAATACAAACACATACACAGTGTGTACCGTTTGGTCCCACACTAATACACCATTTTGGACGCAAACTACAAAACTTTGAAAATCCTATTTTATAATTAGGGTATTTACTTTTAAAATCAATATAAAGCTCATGAAAGTTGCACAATAATAATCTTTTTGTTGTGGAGGATCACTTTTAACTTTAACACAATCTTTTTTACCAGGCATAATTCTAGAATGTTCTTGAAAAAAATCTTGAACCAAAGCTGTTAAAAAAGTCAGGTATTTTTTGGCCTATTTTCATATCAGGTATAGCAAGAATTCCATTTTCAATTTTAAGTTTCCTAGCACGTCGTATAAGATGTTCAGAAACTTCAAAATATTCTGAAGCGTATTTTCTAGACCAAGATTCAGTTGTAAGTGTTAATACTTGATTTTTTTTTTGGTTTAACTTCAAGTTTTTCTGTTATTAAAGTTGTCAAATGATAAAGATCATTTGCTTTTTTTTTATCCATAGGATGACTGGAAAAAGTCGAGGCTACACTTAAGTTATCTATATTTACTCCATAAGTGCTTGCTACACCTTCTTCCATTTATGTGTAGGCTTTGACTAATTTTCTTTTTGCTGTTACAACTCGTTGATGCTTTGCGACTTCATGAACTTTAATTGGTGAGACTCCAATTGATATTAAAGAGTTGTCTAACTGTTGTTTATTACAAGATTTATCTTTAACAAATAATACATCACCATCAATTTCACAATCCATTTCATTATCAGAAACTTCATCACGATTTGACAAAAACTGAATACATGAGCGACAAAATTCCTATCCTGGTTTACAGTCTAGATTTTTGGATTTAAGGTTATGAGCCATTTCAAGAGATATGGTTGTTTGACCTAAAATAAAACCATTAATTTCTAATAAACAAGTCTCAAGCAAACCAGACCTCCAAATATAAGTATCTTGAAAGTCCTTTTCTAGATTACAAAAATCTTTTAATCATTGTTTTGTGACATTCATCTTTTAAAACTTTTCCAAACCTACAAGATTCCATTTTATCAATATACTATTATTTATTATTTCTAAAAAAGATGCAAGAAAAATCTATGATTCATTCAATGTGTTTATGGGGTCAAGGTTGTTTAGGATTACAAATTTTAACTTAATTAGTAAGCATTCTAACTTTAATTTTACGACCTTATAAACATTTCTAAATCATAAAACTACTAAAAAAATAGAAACAGGAATTCAACAACATCTAAAAGAACATTTCGATATAGCCAAAACTGTTTCAGCTACAGAACTGTCAAATTATCACATCTTTTTGTATAGTTTAATTTATCAAAATACCTGTTTTTTAAGCAATAAATTTAAGTAGATTTGACCATATTTTTATTTCTGTTTTAGAAAAGACCACTCTCCAATTCTTTGCAGTAACTAAAGCTTAACTATTCAGGACAACTTCTAAAAAAAAAAAAAAAAAAAAATCAAGCTACATCGGCATTTTTGTGATTGTACTCACCCCAGTAAAATTGTGGTAAACGTTCAAATTTTAAGTGTTATGCTTGTTTTTAAATATTTTAAGTTGTTTCATTGGATTCGTTGGCCCAAAATATGTAAAGGTACAAATTTTCAGCTTTCCAACACACATATAACAGAAACTAGGACCAAAACCATTTTTAAAAATGGCGGATTTTTGTTGGTTGGAGGCAAACTTAAAATAGCTATATCTTAGGAACCAATGGAAATTAGACAATAAAATTTTCAGGATGTTCATAATTTACTAAAATCTTTAAGTGGTTTAAAAATCAGCAAAATCTGAGACTTAGGGTTGCATGCCCTGGATGTTTTCACATGGAATCTCCGGTTACTATAATTTTTTTAAATAAGGCTAATTTTCCTAATAAATAAAATTAGATTAACCTTAACATGGAAGTGATAACTTTAGCTAGCAAAGGTTTTAAGGAAAAGTAGCCCTAATAATATCAAAAATACAACTACTGGAAAGCCATTAAAAAAATAATTAATAAATAACTTTGCAAAAAAAAACTTTTCTGGCCAAATCAATCAGTAAATGTTTATACAATAATTTGGCAATCACCTCCATATTGGTATGAGGTTTTAAGCTTAGAATAAAATAAAAAACCTTTTTCAATTAAAGTTAAATAAAAATTTTTCATAAATAACAATTCATACCAATTAAATTATGTACCTCAAGTATTGATGGGTGTTTAAGCTGACAGTGAATTTCTACTTCATTGCAAACTCTTTTCATCATGCTACTGCTTTGCAACTTTTTTTTGTCTATCTAAAGAAATTTCATTTTAGTTACTACTATTTTATTTTATTGTAACAATTAAAACAAAATTGTAAAAAGATAACAAATTATTTTATCATTTTAAAAATAAATTTTTATTAATCATTTTAAAAACTAATTTTTTATAATTACTTTTATCAATTAAAAATAATATTTATAAAGCTTGATTTTAAATTTTATTCAACATTTACTAATTGGACATCAGTAAAGAATTAGAGCTTTAATTGGGAATCAATGCTACCTAATTAATTATAAAAAAGACATTAACTTAAACTAATTGGTCATAAACTAATATTATCTTAAACTAATTGGTCTTAAACTAATTGGTCATTAATTAACATATTTAGATATTAAAAATTAATAAGACATTTTTAGATTTGCATGAAATATCTCTGATGATGTCATACTAAAAAAGTGATTTAATATGTATCTTGACTCAATGATTAGGGTTAGGACAGTAATACTATCAAAATTTGGCAAAAGACTGAGACTTTCACAAGATATAAAGACAAGATAAAAAGTTTTATGAGACTTACAGGTTTTAGTTGAGTTTTACAAAAAAGTCATTATTACAATAATTTATTTTGAACCTTGCAAAGTTTGAATGCAATCTATAACAATAGCAAACTTTTTTTTCTCATTATTATTCTGAATTTATTTACATATAATGTCAACCAAGTTGTCAAGTCAGATGATCCTGCTACTGGTAACATGTAACCTAGTACAATCTGCTTCATATCCTGCTGCCTTGTAGGATACGCCTTTTTAGGCTAAGGCTGTCAAAGATGTCAACTCCAACATAAAACACCCCCAGCCTTGGGGCTCATGGTTGAGTAAAAACTAGAGAGGAGGGTCTCGATAAAAATAATTATCTTGGGAAGATGTTAAATGTATCCGGCTACTGTAATGTAGAAAGGCCTTTTAGGCAAAGACTTAAGGGGTAAACAGATTATAACTCTATTCTTCTATTCTAGCAACATCTGTTGACCAGCCTTGCACCCCTTCTCTATCTATTTAGGCTGGCACAGATGCATTTTTAATACATTGTTTTCAGTTTAGGATGTTGAATGCTGGATCTTCTGGACTCTACTAGGCAACTCATTCTATCTCCTAATGAGGGTACAGCTCTAAAACTCAGTTTTATGGTTCAGAGGCCGGCTGGTAGTCAGGTTTCCCGAACTCTGTGGTAGCTTTCAGAGAGACTGATTCCATCAACAGCTGAAAAATATCAAAGTATTAACAGTGCCATGTTGCGCATAGATGGTGTCCCTGTTTGTACTTTTGATGTGCATTGCCAAGGCCACATTTAGAGCCCTTTGTTACGGCTTAGGATTTATTAATAGAAATGAGGCAATTGCTTGAGCTATTAAACAGTCTACTGTGAACTATCTATGCTTTAAGTCAAGTTCCTTAACAAATTTAAAGTACCAAAAACTATAAAACACAAAAAACCATCATCATCAAGTTCTCTAAACCTATCATTCACTAATATTCGTATTCTTCGAAGTAACTTTTCTTCTGTTGAGTCTTATCTCTTACAAAGTTCACCAGACCTACTTGCTCTTTGGGAGACTAATTTGAGTTCAGCTATCTCATTTTATGATCTTAGAGTTGATGGTTATCTTCTTTTAATTCGTAAAGACTCCAATAGCTACATGCTTGGTCTGGGCATTTACATTCGTAGAACTCATTCATTTATCGGAAAACTAGGTTTGAATCCACAGACCATTCTCTCATATGCTTTTGTCTAGCACCACTTCACTCTATCGCCTTTCTCTTTGTTCTATATTGCTCTCCTTCATCCCAAGACTGCACTCTTTTTCAGGTTATTTCTGATCATATTGAGCCCTCTCTCTTCATCCATCAGCCAATATTGTTGTTGTCGGTCACTATAATGCTCATCACATTGAATGGCTTGGCTCTAGTGTCAGTGACTCTGCAAGCGTTAAAGCCCATAACTTTTGCCTTTCTCAATCCCTAACTCAAATAGTCAACTTTCCAACTCGCTTTCCAGACAACCTGAACCATTTACCTTCTCTACTCGACTTATGCCTTGTTTCTGATCCTAGTCAGTGCTCAGTTTCTCCACATTCACCCTTAGGTGCTTCTGATCACAGTTCTTATCTCCCTAAAAACTATCATCTCGTGCTTCTTATATAACTTTGTGGATTCGGGTTGGCATGGAATTATTCATTCCCTCTCGACAATTCCAGGTCAAGCCTCACTCTTCTCCATGGTTTTCCTCACATTGTACTGCTGCAATTGCCAATTAAAACCATTACTTCCACATCTATCAACAAAACAATTCTCAAGAAAACAAACCTCTGTTTATTACTGCTATAAACCATTCTAAAAAGGTAGTGTTTAACACCAAAAACCCACTATTTTCATTTCATGAATTATCGTATTTCATTACAAAAATTTGGCTCTTATGACTTCTGGAGAATCTTTAATAGTATTAATAATAAAAGCAAACCTGTGATTCCACCTCACTTGTATGGTTCAGACTTTGTCACCTCACCTAAAGACAAAACTGAGTTTTTTGCTAAGAACTTTTTATCAATATCATCTCCTGATTCCATCAGTTGCGTTCTACCTGATATAGCCAACAAACAGGTTGATCCATTTTTTGACATTTGCATCATTCCAGCTTCTGTATCTAAAACAATTTCCAACTTGGACTCTTCTACAGCTTGTGGCCTGGACAACAGACCTGTTTTAATCTTGCAGATTTGTTTTCCAGAGCTGTCATCTATACTTTCAAAACTACTCACCAAGTGCTTATCAGAGTTTTGTTTTCCAGCCAGCTGGAAAACAGCATCTGTTATCCCTATTTTCAAAAATTCTGGAGAGCGATCTGTTTTGTCTAACTACTGTCACATTAGTCCTCTTCCTATCATAAGCAAGGTTTTTGAATCTTTAATTAACCAACACTTAATCTCATCTTGAATCTAATAACTTACTATCTGATCATCATTATGGATTTCATTCTTCTTGTTCTTCAGCTGATTTGCTAACAGTAATAATGGATAGGTTTTATCGTGCATTATATAGAGGTGAAGAGTTTAAGGCCGTTCTTGACATTTCTAAAGCTTTTGATAAAGTTTGGCATGCTTCTCCATAAGCTTTCTTCTTACGGTGTATCTGGTAACATCTTCAAGATTATCGAATGCTTCCTTACCAATCATAGTATAAAAGTTGTCCTGGATGGACAGCACGCTTCTTCATACCCAGTAACTTCAGGGGTTCGTCAAGGTTCAGTCCTTGGCGTTATACTTTTTTTTAATCTACATTAAAGATATTCCAGATATTCTCACATCTAAAGTGGCATTGTTCGCTGATAATTCTACCATTTATTCTTGTCATGATAAGAAGCCAACACTCTCTGATTCCTTAGAGGGAGCATTTGAGCTTGAAAAGGATCTCACTTCTGCTACAGCATGGGGCTCACAGTAGCTGGTAAACTTCAATTCAGATAAAACTCAACTTTTTTTCAGCTAATCGTTATCGCAATAATTTAGACCTTCCTTTATTTATGAACAGTAATGTACTTGACGAGTCATCTACCCTTCATTTTCTAGGATAACTTTTACTTCTGATCTTTCTTGAAAACTATATATAAAATCCATTGCAAAATTAGCAACTGCTAAAGTTGCATCACTTTATCGTGCTCAACACTTTCTTACTTTGGATTCTATTCTCTATCTCTATAAATCTCAAATCTGACCTTGTATGGAATACTGTTGCCATATCTGGGGCGGATCTTCTAATGATGCCCTTCCTCTTTTAGACAAGGTGCAAAAGCGCATTGTAAACATAGTTGGACCTGTTCTTGCAGCCAACATCCAACCATTATCACATCCTCGTAATGTTGCTTCTCTTTCTCTTTTCTACAAATACTATAAACTCTAAAGAGCTAGTGTCTCTTGTGCTACCTACTAAAATTCATTCTCGTGTTCTTAGTGCTCTAAAAACTCTTATTCATCTAGTTTTTTTCCTTGAACATCAGTTCTTTAGAATTAGCTTTCTTCAGCTTGTTTTCCTGATTCATATAATTTGCAATCCTTTAAGTCACCTGTCAATCATTATCTTGCTCTAGCATCTTCATATATTCTCTTCCAACTCTAATTAATGGTTGCTTGCAGCCTTTTTGGAAGAATAGATGTTTAAAAAAAAAAAAAGTGCTACTTAAAGAATTTGTTGTTATGCAATACAAATAAAATAAGTTTAAAAAAAAGATTACATCGCAACTTCCTCAAATGACAATTAAATGACTTTCGGGTAAACTTTGGTGTCAAATAAAAGATATTTTAAATATAAATATAGTCGAGTGTAAATAAAATTTTTTAGTTTTACTTAGTTTAAATATAAACAAATTATTTGTTTAAATAAAATTATCCAATTTATTTTCGAGATTCATTTAAAACATCTGGTATTTTAACTTATGATTTGAAGCTAAACATGGCACAACAGTCATGTTTTTAAGTAAGATTAACTTAAATAAGTTGCAAAATAAACAAAAGTATTTTTAAAAAATCATTTGAAAAATTACCATTTTAATAGCAACTTCTTTACAGGTAGGCTTGTGAACAGCACGATACACTACTGCAAATGAGCCACGCCCAAGAAGCTCAAAAACTTCATAGTTATCTATTGAATCTTCTTCATCTCTACTAGCAATTGGGGTCATTTCTTCTATGTATAATTAAACTTGTATCTAAAAAAAAAAAACTATAATAATATATACTTATTGTAATATAATTTAAAATAATAAAACAAATACTTATATTAAAATAATTTACAATAAAACTTAAGCACACAAAAACACATGCATATATATATATATATATATATATATATATATATATATATATATATATATATATATATATATATATATATATATATATATATATATATATATATATATAAAACCCTCGGAATTAGAAAAAATGAGTCTATTAGAGTTTGACATCAGGTCGACAAAAAAAATTTGTAACAAAGGTTTTACCATAAAACATAGAAATGAGGTCTGCAATTTTTCGCTGACCTCAAACACTTTTAGGTCGGCAGTTTGGTCGGAATTGCTGAATAAATGAGTGCAAAAGCAGAGAAATGCTCCCCTAAAACGAACATGGTGAGCCATGCGAACTGTTCCTTTAAAAAGTTTTTTACAAGAGCTTTTGATTTTTTACACAAGCAATCTGTTTATTCATAAAAAATTGCTTATTGGATATAAAACTTGATTTTACTTGTTATAAACTAAAGACTTGTTTGTAATGTTAATGTTACGTATGCTTAACAAGCATCGTTTATTGCACTGTGAAAACTTAGGCAATATTCCATTTTTGAAAAATTTTTCAGACAAGCATTCTTTTTGAGTTTTCTAACTATCCATTTATTCATAAATAACTTTACTTTTTTGATAGAAAATTAAAAAAAAAAGCTATAAATTTTTTTAAATGCTTTTTCAAATGTATTTATAAAAATGTTTAATAAACTGAACTTTACATAATAGCTTCAATATGAAGATAGCATTGACTATAAAAAAATTTATGACAGAATATTATTAATTTATTTTTTTATAATAGCATTTTTATAAGAAACTTTTTATTTTGCCTTTTTTAGTTTTTATTTTATACAAGATTTATTATTTTATGCAAGAAATCAATCAGTTAGCTAAATCTATTTTAAAAAAATTGCATTTCAATTTTACTTTTTTTATAAAAATAATTTGTACACAAATAATTATGCATAACTTTGTTTTATTTCAAAAATGACTGTTTTGCGTTTTTCATCTTAAATACAATGTTTTTTTCTTTTATATACAACTTTGCAAACTTGACTATTTTGTCATTAATATTATAGTGATATTACATATTATACCAAGAACTTTATGAGAAAACATATTATACCAAGAACTTTATAAGAAAACATATTACATATTATGCCAAGAACTTTATGAGAAAACATATTATACCAAGAACTTTATGAGAAAACATATTATACCAAGAACTTAATGAGAAAAAAATCTCTCTGCACTGCATATCATTGTTTGAAATGAATAGAAAAAGTTCTTTTTTATTTTTACTAATTTTATTTTAACTTTATATTAAAATTATGTAATATTTATGCTTGCATTTATAATAATAAAAAAAAAGGCAAGAATTTTAATTGTAATAAAAAAAAAACTTATATTAATAAGTTATTAAGTTGTTTGCCATTTGAATAGTTAAAATATCATCTCAAGTACTACAAAAGATAATTTTTAGTATAAGATTGTTTTTAAAAATAAATTATAAGTAAGTATAATCTTTTTTAAATATGGAATTAGGCCTAAAAATTGAGCCAAACGAGCCAAGCTTGCCAGGGCTCGTTTACATATTAAGAGTGTTCAGGCTCGGCTTGAGCTCGCTTCAAACATGAGATTCTTTGTTCGAGCTCGGCTCGTTAAGGATTAGTATTGTTTGGGCTCAACTCGTTTTACATGTTGCTCGAGCTCAACTGGTTTAAAACTCAAAATAATTATTGTAATCTGTTAGTTTAAAGCTCGTTTAGTAAAAAAAAATTGTTCGTTAAAGGCTTGTCTGTAATAATGCATGTCCAAATCAACAAACAACATAAACAATCCTACAGTCTATTAAACATGCAAATAAACAACATAATGAAATAAGATCCTACTTGTTTATATTAATCAATTATTTAGTATAATAAGAGTTATGCAATACAAATAAAATAAGTGAACAAGCTCTTGTCGAGCCGATCACTGAGCCGTTCATGAACACGAGACAGGATTTACAGCCCTATATGAAATTTAGATTCTATTAATAATTTTTGTTCAACTAGTTAAAATAATTTTTAGCATGGTTTAAAATTTAATTTCAACAAGATACTTTAAAATATTTTCAAAATATCAAGAGTTTTTAGGCTCCTTTAACAAAAAAGATCTTAATAATTACAACACATTAAAAGTAAAGAGTTTAAATATACATGTAATTTTTTTTTTATATTTGTCAATAGGGATTGTCCATTAGTCTTATAATGCTAAACTTATTTAAAAAATAGAAGAGACTCTTTTGGGCAGTAATATTTACTGGACTTGAGGGGTTTTATTTATTTATCTGGTTTAATTAAAGGCTCTGCAAGGACAATTTCTGATCTTTTCTATTTTGTTTACAAATTAAACTTAGCATTGCATAACTTATGGACGATCTTAACTTTCTTGTTATAAAAAAAAAGTCTATTTTTTAAAATAAAATAAGCACTTAATTTAAGTAAAAAACCTAATATATCGACATGTGATTTATCTAAAAGTAGAAAAATGAATGTTATCAATAGTTTACAATATTACTTTTATTTAGGCAAATTATTTCTAGTCTACACTTAGCCCTATAAGAAAAAATGAGTATAATATGCGAGAACTCCTCTGAATGCATAAACATTTATAAAAAATAGTGACTGTCTAATTAACTCATAATGTTGGTGATGACCAACATTAACAAACCGGTACTTTTAGTCTCCCTTCAGTTGACCAACCAAAAGTGTGTATGTATAGACATATATATATATATATATATATATATATATATATATATATATATATATATATATATATATATATATATATATATATATATATATATATATATATATATATATATATATATATATATATATATATATATATATATATATATATAAATTAGTAGAAAATCACTTAACAAAGTTTTTTTTTCATTTAACACTGTTTCATCAACTAAGACTCATCAGAAATTTCTGGTTGAGTCTTTGTTGATGAAACACAGTGTTAAATGAAAAAAAAAATTTAAGTGATTTTCTACTAATTTATAATTGCTCTGTTCTTTTAAGAACATTGAGCACTCTATTTTGTAGAATACATTTTAAAATTGTTTAAATATATATATATATATATATATATATATATATATATATATATATATATATATATATATATATATATCAACCTTCAGAGTTAGGAAAAATGGGGTTGGCAATAAATTGCCAACCTCAAACTATTAGAAGTTGGCATTAGGTTGGCAAAAAAAATTTGACACAAAGGGGTTAACATAAAACATAGAAATGAGGTCGGCAATTTTTTGCCGACCTCAAACACTTTTAGGCAAGCAGTTAGGTCAGCATTGCCTAATGCCGACCCTAATTCCAAGGGTTGATATATACATTAGTGATATATCGATATCACTCTTTCGGTCTATGTCAATGGATGGGAAAAGGCCAATACCGATGAATTTACTAATTATTAAAAACTTGAAAAAATAAAACCATACAACTTTAAATCGGTTTGAAAATCTGATTTGGGTCCAAATCTTGAACCCATATCAAAGCCAAACAATTATTTTAAAAGATATTAGAAAAACTAGGTTAAAAAAATATAAATTTTTATTTTTTTTCTACTATGAAAAAAAAACTTAAAAAAAAAAAAAAAAAAATACAATTTTAGAGGAACACTTTTTATTTTAATTTAAAAAAAAAAAAAAAAAATTATATACAGTTTACTTAGAATTCTTTATTAACTTTTTAGTAATTTAGATATCTAAACAACAATCATATGATGTTTAAAGATTATTTTTAGATAAATAAATTGTTTTTAGAATTATTTTGTTTTGTGATGCTCAATCCCCACCACGTCCCTGGTAGTATAGCACTTGACTTGTTTATAACGCAGAGGCATTGTTCAGGTTTGTGTTTCTGAGTTATAAAGTTGGCTATACTTAAATACATGAAATAAGGCTGAACTATTTGCAAAGAAATTCTCTTCTAATCCGACTCTCGAATCTTATGGCCATTCTCTTCCATTCTAATTAAACAGGTTAACCATTGTTAGATATTTAAATCATTTCAGCTTTCATTGCTCATAGTCATATCTCGATTAAACTCTTCTATGGCTTGTGGTCCAGACAACATTCCTGTTACATTCTTACAAAACTGTTCTCTAGAATTCTCTTCAATTTTCTCTAAACTATTTAATAAGTACTTGACTGAATCTTGTTTTCCTGCCTGCTGGAAAATGGCATCTGTTGTTCTAATTTTTAAAAACTCTGGTAAACATACTGACCCCTCTGATTATTGTCCAATCAGTCTTCTTCTGTTATTAGCAAGGTCATTGAGTCTTTGATAAACAAATTTCTCACTTCCATCTTGAATCAAATAACTTGCTGTCAGACAAATAATTATTGCAGTACTGTCAACATTCCTATATTGATGAATGGCAACCCTCTCACTGATTCCACTTCTTTACGTCTTCTTGGATTATCATATACTACTGACTTTTCATGGAAACCATATATACAATCAATTGCTAAATTAGCATCTGCTAAGGATGCTTCTTTTTATTGTGCTTACTATTTCCTCTCTCCTGATTCCATTCCCTACCTCTACAAATCACAGTTGCTGCTCAAAGGAGCTTTCATCTTGTCATTCATCAAAGTCTCTTTCTTCGACTGTATCTGTCTCTTCATGCTCCAAAAACTTTTATTTGTCTAGATCATTTCCACACACTTCAACCTTTTGGAACTCTGTCCCATCTTTTTCGACCATCATCATTTTCCTGACTCATACAACCTTCAACTTTTAATTGTTAACTCAACTTTTTTTTTATAGCAATAGATAGTGGTTGCTTGAAGCCTTATTAGGAGTAAAAAAGAATTTAAAAAATATAGATAACATTGCTTAAATTTTTTTGTAAATATTATTATACCTAGGTGCTGTTTTAAGGATGGACCAATTCAATATAAAATCATCAATATTTTTATCATTCAATTCCGATGTACTTTGACAGAATGGTGTCGATTTAATACTTTTGATTTTTAAAGGAATACTTATGATTAGCATGACATATTTTCCACTTGCCTTCTGTTAAGCCAATTGTTTATCAGGTACATTTTTACAGGAAACAACACATTTATATCACATTATACCACATTTTTTGATAAACATTTTTTCCTTATTAGACAATAGTTTTTTTGTTTGCAATTACATTTTCTGTAATTTTTTAATTTAGGATTTCTTTTTTGTTTAACAAAGCATTATTGTCAAAATTATCAGAAAAACAAGATGAAGGAAGTGAATTCCAAAGGACTGATGCTCGAGGAAAGCACTAAGGAGGTAACAGGAGAACGAATTTTAGTAGATGGCTAAATGAATAATAGCAGATGACAAGAGACGCTAGTTCTTTAGAGCAGTGCGCATTATAGTATTTATAGAGAAGAAAAAGAGAAGCAAGATTACGACGATGTGATAATGGTTGGAGGTTGGCTGAAAGAGCAGGTTCAACTATGTTTATATTATGTTTATATGGAGGTTCAACTATGACAAGGTTAGATCCTGCAAGAGCAGGTTCAAACTTTGTCTAAAAGAGAAATAGCATCATTCAAAGATTCACCACCAGATATGGCAACAGTATTCCATACAAAGGCAGATTTGAGATTTATAGAGATAAAGAATAGAATCCTGAGTAAGAAATAGACAAGCATGATAAAGAGATGCAACCTTAGCATGCTAATTTTTCAACCAATTTGATATTTGGTTTCTAAGAAAGATTGGAAGTTAGAGTTAATCCTAGATGATGAAGGGTAGAATAATCATTGAGTACATTAACATTCGTAAATATAGGAAGATCTAGATTATTGTGATAGCCTTTAGCTAAAAAGCAGCTTGGCATGCCATTCAACATAATCGCATCCTTTTACTGTATCTGTCCCTCTGTGCTTAATTTTTTTGTGGTTTTGTATAACAAAAGTACAATTGTTAACTTTAAGGACTGAATTAAAATTTAGTTATTTGCCCTTTGTTCTTAAGTACCATTTTTATACTTTTTGGCATGCTTTCAGAGAGCTTTTGAAAATATTGTAGAGACACGTCTAAAATCCAAATTCTTTTTATTTTCAGCATCAGTTCTGGAAACAAAGTTTAGCACACTCAACTAATTATTGATTTTATTTTCTTCCAAATTTTTTCTATTAGGGTCTGGACTGTTGCTGGGCCATTCCAACACATTAATAACTTGACTCAAAAATAGTTTTTGATTGTTTCAATGTATGGCAACATGCACCATCTTGCATAGATAAAATTGATGAATTTCTTAATGTTCAAGAATTTTTTTGTTTTTAGGAAGAAAATATAGTGCTCAATCAACCTCTAACTGTTACATAGAAGCTATGTTTGCAGTTTTTTAGGCCTATTTGGATTGAATTGGTCATAAATACAGGAGTGACACATTCACATTTGGCCTAAACTTTTCACTAATGTTGTGAATTATACATAAAGAGTTTATCTTGTAAATAGTTAAATTCATAGTCAGGTAGTCGTTATTAATATATTATATATAATAATAACAACTCAGTAAAAAAGTGAATTTATCAGTGTCTGAGAGAAACATAATTATTTCCCTTCAAAGCAGATAAATGACAGCTTCTTTTTAATTTTCATTAGGTACTATATATTATGCATGTCTTTGAAACCCTAGTATACAGCTGCCAGATGGATGATAAACTCAAAATCAATGCTAATTACTAGCTAAAATAATATATTTTACTACGGCTTAAAATACTAGAAACTAGAAATATTAACATGTTTAAAATGACATGAAATAACAATTTTTAAATATATTCTGCAAAATAGAGTGCTCAATGTTTTTAAAAGAATATAAGCAATAATAAATTAGTAGAGAATCACTTTACAAAAACTTTTTTTTTAGCTAACACTGTGTTTCATCAATAAAAACTTATCAGGAATCTGATATGTCTTTAATGATAAAACTGTTAAATAAAAACTTTTTTTTAAGTGTTTTTCTACTGAGGTCTTCATATATAAATGTGTGCGTGTGTGTGTGTGTGTGTGTGTGTGTGTGTGTGTGTGTGTGTGTGTGTGTGTGTGTGTGTGTGTGTGTGTGTGTGTGTGATAAATTATAACAGAAATTATGTTGTAATTTGTAAATTTATATAAGTTTTTTATATAACATCAAAAATATTTCTATAAAAAACTAAAAATAAAACCAAAAAATTGTTTTAATGGCTATAGAGTCATTGCCGCTAAGTTTTATTTTTAAAACAAATTGAGTAAAATATTAACAAGAACAAGGATTGTTTTGAAAACAGTAATTCCCGCTTAGAAACCATCCTACTATATCACAATAAGTCTCAATAATGTTATCAAAAATAATCTGGTGTCATCATTATGATATTGTCAGACAAAATGTAGTAACCTTGTAATCCTTTACATTAATACTTCTTGAGAATAGACCAATGATATCACTAATATGATTGACAGATTTGATGATTATTAGATGAAAATTTTTTGAAAATCAGTTAAACTGAATAAAATTTGATTTAATGACATGCTAGTAGATGTGATTCTTTCAAATCCAGACTGGTTTCAGCACTAGATGCATTTACACACAACTTTAATTCTTAGTATTTTTTTAGTTGCTATCTTATCTAAATAAAAAAAATATACTATAAAACCCATTTGTTAAACAAATTTCCACAAAAAATTTATTATGATAGGAGACAATACAATATCAATCAAATCAAGCAGCAACAGAAAAACAAACAAAAAATATTTAATAAATAAATTCAACATGTTAAAATGTCTTACTAATAAAAAAAGCAGACAATAATTTTTCAAAAAATAATTGTTTCTTCAAAGTAAAAGTTGCTTTTTTTTGTTGCAATAGTTATTGATATAAACTATTACAATTATGATAAAAATTATGTTATAATGCAATTATTAAAAGAATTATGACTCTTTAAAGAGTAGACTAAGAAAGCGTTCTCAGTCCATGTTAAGCAATTTTTTTAAACAGACTGATATCTAAAAAAAAATTTAACACGTTTAAAGCATTTACTAAATTTAAACCTATCTAGGGTATTTAGATTTATTGATCGTTAATGAGAGGTTTGACAACTAAATTTAAAGTTTTTTTAAAATGTTTTTTATAAAATTGTTTAAACTCTCATTTATAAAATATACAGCAGATTATATCATGCTAACCACATACTGAAATCATCTACCTTTAATAATATGTAGGTAATAATGTAGAGGTAATTTGTAATATCTAATAATGTAATAATATGTGAGTAATGTGTAAAAAAATATATATATTGCTTACATTATTGATAGTATTACTGGTACCATTTTTAAAATATTTCCGCGCTTTTCAATAAAAACGGCCATAGGTTATTTAACGGGTTAAATATTTTTATTTAAATATTAAACATTTTAAGAATTTAATAAGAAATAACTATTATTTAAATAATATTTAAATAACTAAAAATACTATTATTTAAATACTATTGTTTGAATAATGTTTCTTATAACTACGAATGTATTCATAAGAAATATAAAGTTTAAAGGCATGTCCGTTGCTATTGTTTTTTTTTGTTTTTGTTTTTTAAATTTGTTATTTAAATGCCCCAAGAAGTCCTTACGGTCTTGTCACAGAACACCGCGGAAGTGCATTTAACCAGGAAGTTCACGCCTCCTTCCTTACCGTGACGCAAAAATATGTCCAGATTTCGTTTTGAACAATTAAATATTATGATATTTTACCCCTTTATTTAAATATTTTAACCCTTAACAAATATTTTAACCCTTTGTTCAATACATTGTTCAATACATTGTTCAACTTGTTCAATACATTGTTCAATACTTTGTTCAATACATTGTTCAATACATTGTTCAATACATTGTTCAATATATTGTTCAACCCTTTGTTCAATACATTGTTCAATACATTGTTCAACGGACCAATACATGGTCCGTCACTGTTCAATAGGGTATTGACAATTTAGGTAGACTCGGTGCCATCTGCAACTTGCTTTTTTTTAAGTTAAATTTCTACATCTAGTTTGTTGCATTTTTTGCAAAATGACGAGAGTGTCAAAAACTATAAAACACAAAAAACCATTATCATTCACAAGTTCTCTAAATCATTAGTATTTGTGGTCTTCGAAGTAACTTTTCTTCTGTAGAGTCTTATATCTTGCAAAGTTTACCAGACCTACTTGCTCTTTCTGTGACTAATTTGGGTTGGCTGTCCGATTTTGTGATCTTAATGTTGATGGTTATCTTCCTTTAATTCGTAAAGACTCCAATAGTCACATGCTTGGCCTTGGATTTTACTATTAATCATTTATTTAACCATAAAATGCCTCAGAGACGTAAGATCCGTGGTTCAAATCCCACCTCTGGGCAAGTTTTGCGACATCGGTTGAGAAGGAGGCGTGAACTTCCTATTAAATGCTCTTCCGCGGTGCTCTGTGATAAGACCGCAAGGACTTCTAGGGGCACCTAAAAAATTAACAAAAAAAAAATATGAAAATTTACAATAATGTTTTATAAACTCACATAAATAATGTTAGGTGTCACTCATATAGTTAAAAACTAGTCAATGGAGTAACACCTTGAAAAAAAAAGCAAAACAAAAAAAAAAAAAAAAAAAAGCTATAGTTAAAACATAGAAAGAATTTGAAAATAAATAAAGAGGAAAAAAAAAAGAAAAAAAAAAAATAATGCACTAATAAATAAAGATAATATTAATAATTGCAATAACAATATAGCAAAAATAATAATAGTATTATTAATAACGTGAATAAAAAAATTACAAATAGTAACTATATCATGATAACTTTAACTAAAAATAATTACTAATGATAAAAACTATTGTAAAAATAATTATAGTAAAGTTTATAACTATGACAGAAATTATTAAAATAAACGTAACAATTGCAAAAGTTAGGACAATAATCAAAAAGCTATTACTAAAATTAAATCACTATCATTATAAATAATATTAATAAGATTTATAAAAAAAAGGTAAATTAATGATAATAAGTAATATTAGTAAAGTTAAAAAAGACAGTTTAAAATAAAAGTAATAATAGTTTATAAATACAGTAATATATAAAAAGCAAATATTATTAAAAGATAAAACTAATATTCATCAAGTATATACTCAAATAAAAATTTCTTAATTTGTTTTGGTTGAGAAAAAGAATGTTGGTAATAAAAGGGTATTTAGTTAAAATATTTTTTTTGTATTATTTAGTTCCGGTGAGTAATACATTGATGTTTTATAGAGAGCTAGCCATAATTGATTGTGTAGAATAAGGAAGTGTGCAAGTTAAAATATTCAGTGTGGTATTTTGAGTGTAGTATTTGTGTCTCACTAGTAAAATAGTTCAATAATTTTTTATTAAGTCTCACTTAATAAAAAATTATTGAACAAATTTGATAGTTTATTTTGAAGAAAATTAAACACAAAAAAACAATTACAAAACTTTACAAGATCTTGAAATTTTAGAATTTTTAATTCAGAAAACCTGTTTTCGATATTGGATCGTAAAGGAGAAAATTTCATAATTTTTAAGGAAGTGCGTTGTAAACTGTTTATACAATGTAATAAAAAACTACCTTTTTGACCCCAAACAGTGCAACAATAACTTACTTGTGAGGAGAAAAAGGATTAGTAAATTGATTTTAGAATATGTTAGGCAACATTGTGTCGTATTAATGACAGCATACTATTGGTACGTGAGAGTTTTTTATTTAATCGAATTAGTTGATAGTACCATTATAGTTTTTTGTCAAGAAATAGCCCGAGGTATTTTTTATATTTAGATGGGAAAAGTCTTTTACCATTAATTCTAGTTTTCACATTATTACTATCAATCTTTTTTTGGGTGGGTGAAAAACAATAAATTCATTTTTATTGATATTTAGCGAAAGACGGTTACTATTTAACCAATGACACAAATGACGGAAATCTGAATTAACTTTTTTACAAAGCTGCGAGAGTGATTTATTTATGCATAAAAGATTAGTGTCGTCAGCAAAATGATGAACAATCAGAACCCTGTGGGACACCATACTTAATAACTTTTTACTTGAGACAAACTGAGTACGATTGTTAATATTGGATAAAAACCAATCATTAGCAACCTCATATACCATAGTGATACAATTTTTAAATCATTAAATCAATTTTTAAATCCCTGTATACCATAGTGATAAACTAAAATCTTATGGTCATAGTGATAAATTAAAATCTCAACTGTATCAAATGCTTTTTGGAGATCAGTAAAGACGCCACAAGCAAAAGAACCACTATCAATCGCACCACGAATCATTTCAGTAATGCTAATAAGTGCATGGGAAGTAGAGTGTTTTAAATGAAATCCAAACTGGCCGCCGTAGAGACACTTAGAATTAACAAGAAAGTGGTAGATACGAGAATACATTAACTTTTCAATAACTTTGCTGATATTTGATAATAATAATATTGGTTTATAGTTATTGCAGTCAGGTTTCGAGTCCTTTTTTTATGGATTAGTCTAACAGATGCAGTTTTTAAAATATTAGTGAATGTACCAGTAGCGAATGAGAGATAAATAGTTTAGAAAGTACTGAAGAAATATCATTAGCAAGAAGTTTTAGAATAAAAGTTGGAACGCTGTTTCGACCAGAAGTCTTGCCATCATTTAGAGAAAAAATAACTGATATTATTTCTTTTTTTTTTCAGTAGGTTTAATGAAAAGAGAGTCAGGGTTTGACGTTTTTAAGTACTCATGGAAGTCAGTATAAGATGAATGAATATTTTATTGCAATTCTTCAGGGATTGAAATAAAAAAAGAGTTGAAAAGTTCCGAGATTTTAACCAAATCATTTATAATGGTATTGTTTAAAGATATACAAGATGGATATGAGATATTATTCTAACGTATAATCAAAAGAGTTCTAATACCCTTCCACGTAGCTCTCAAACTGTTACTCTTGGTAGTAAGTAGTTAGAAGAGTGTTTTATTTTGCTTCTTCGAATAAATATTAAAAGTAAATTTCTATAGGTTTTGTAAGTATCTTCAAGAATTAGTTCGTCATGAAAATTTTTTGATTTAAGGAACTTCTTAAATATATTGTTTCGAGGTTAAAATTGCTGAAGTAATCCATGGTTTTAGGCTCCGAGTTAAGCGACGATTACTTAGTTTTTTTAGCGGTGCGTGTTTTTCCAGAAGAGAGTTAAAGGTAGTGAAGAAATCTTCATATGATTTATTTGTATTACTATTGGAAACTTTGATTACTTTATCCCAGTTGATTTTCAAGTAATCATTCTTAAATTCTAATTAAATTCTTAAATTACTATTTAATTTTTTGAAGTTTCAAAGAATAATATTACTTTTTCGAGAATTAATAATTCTTTTTTTAAAAGATGAATAAATTAGAAACTGTGGCAAATGATCCGATATTCTAATAGTTGGATAGCCTGAAAAATATCTTTAGAAGTTGAATTAGAAAATATATTATCAATTATAGTACTTGAGTGATTGGTAATTCACTCAAGTACTATAATTGATAACATATTCCATTGCTTCAAACAACTTTCTTCCTTTTATTTTTTATAAAAAAGTAAAAGGAAGAAAGTTGTTTAAAGCAATGGTGTTCAAATACTCCGATATTGATTTATCTGAGTTTGCTTTTATAAGATCTATATTAAAGTCACCCATTATAATAATAGTTTTATTTTTTTCAACAGCAAGTTTTGCAAATAGAATAGCTAGATATGAAACAATAAATTCATTAATATCCATGTTAGTATGGCGATAACATAGCTAACTATGATATTAGATTTTTTAGGAAAATGATTTCAATAAATACAGACTCTAAGAATTGGGGTTTATACATATGTAAACTATTTCTAGATTTACAAACTAGTTTATTAGAAATATAAAGCAGAGCACCTCCAAATGAAGTTTTGTTGGAGTATGTTCATAAACATATTCACTAAGATTTATTGTAGTTGTTGGGAGTAAATCAGATTTCAGTTTAGTTTCTGTAATTCCGATTATACTAAATTCATAATTTATTAGAGATAAAAGCGAGTTTAATTCGTCAAAATGTTTAACTAATAAAACGATATTTATATGAAATTCTTGCATTCGTAAAATTCACCCATTGTCGGGAAACTAGGTTTGAATCCACAGACTATTATTTTATGTGTTTTTTGTTTAGCACTACTTCACTCTATTGCCTTTCTCTTTATTATATACCGCTTTTCTTCATCTTAAGACTGCACTCTTTTCGATGTTATTTCTGATCAAATTGACCAAGCCCTTTCTCTTTATTATTCAGCTAATATTGTTGTTGTTAGTGCAATGTTTCGTATTCTCGTTTATAGG